TATACCCTGGCTTTTTGTAGAAACGTTTGTAGAATGTTTGGTAATATGTAGTTTGTGATGTGTCTATATATGTATATAGACACATCTTTATATGTCTATATATGTATATAGACACATCTTTATATGTCTATATATGTATATAGACACATCTTTATATGTCTATATATGTATATAGACACATCTTTATATGTCTATATATGTATATAGACACATCTTTATATGTCTATATATGTATATGAACACGATGTACTGAACGGGGTGAGAATAGCTCGAGCTACCTCATCCCTTTGTGTGTGTTTTATACCTCAGTTAACGTATTTCAATTTCCTGTACTGAAAGAACTATTTTTTGGTTTATTAATCTAGTGCCAGTAGCTACTACTTAGCTACTTGTCCATCACTACAACAAGATCATCCTGGAAATTTGAACAAGCCGTCACAGCGACAAGATCATTCTATGAACTGGAACAAGTCATCAACGTGACAAGATCCTCTTGGGAACTGGAACAAGTCATCAACGTGACAAGATCCTCTTGGGAACTGGAACAAGTCATCAACGTGACAAGATCCTCTTGGGAACTGGAACAAGCAATCACAGCTTGCCCGCCTCTTCTCTAACAACCTAACCTTCCCCCCCCCCTCCCTCTCACCCCCTTCCAAATAGCCTTCCCCCACCCCCCCAAAACCCCCCCCCAAACAGGCTCCGCTAAGACCTTGTTTACCCTGAACAACTCTGCAGTGGTGCTATTCTGACTCTTCATCCAGAAACTGGCGAGGACCCGCTTAGCGCTCCTGACGCTCAAGGGCTCTTGGCGGTCTCCACTTCCGTGAATGTGTATCTTACGTTTATCTGTCTGACCTTGATTTTTCCTTCTGGCTAAGACGAGGGTTGATTAGCAATGGCACTGATGTTGCAAATGAAACGAGGAATTGGTATTTAGCATGAGGTCTTCTGAAACTAGACCCTAGAAACCTTATTGATATGGAGAACTCACTCTGTATGTCCATGTTTGTGTGTGTGTGTGTATGTGTGTTTCTGACTCTTTCTCTCTCTCTCTCTCTCTCTCTCTCTCTGTCTGTCTGTCTGTCTGTCTGTCTGTCTGTCTGTCTGTCTGTCTGTCTGTCTCTCTCTCTCTCTCTCTCTCTCTCTCTCTCTCTCTCTCTCTCTCTCTCTCTCTCTCTCTCTCTCTCTCTCTCTCTCTCTCTCTCTGTCTGTCTGTCTGTCGTCTGTCTGTCTGTCTGTCTGTCTGTCTGTCTCTCTCTCTCTCTCTCTCTCTCTCTCTCTCTCTCTCTCTCTCTCTCTCTCTCTCTCTCTCTGCCATCACACACACACGCTGCTCCTTCTCCCACATTCCAAGCACGAGCTTCGCGGGTAACATCAATTTTAAGTGTGCATTCATTTGTGTGTGGAGAGTAAAGTGGAGGATATTAGTGGCGGGGAACTCTGGCCCTCATGAGCGGGGCCGTGGCGCCGCCCTCGGGGGGTCTCCTCGTCTTCCTCCACGCCAAGTACAACCGCCGAGGGAGACGGAGAAGGAGAAGAAGGAGGAGGAGGAGGAGAAAGAGAAGCGATAGGCGGAGAGGTTCAGATAATCAAGCAGGGGTGACAGGATTTATACGACACTAAGGAATGAAGCTAAAGACGGTAAACAAAAAAAATGTAAATCAGTCCACTATCCCCATGCAGGTCCCATATTCCACCCACACTGCCCCCTTCCCCCCTTTTCCTTAACCTCCTCCTCCAAACACTTTGGCCCAGATTCACGAAGCACTTACGGGCTATTCATGCCCGTGCCACCTCTTGGGTGGCTTAATCTTTATCAATCAATCTTCACGAAGCAGTTACGCAAGCACTTACGAACCTGTACATCTTTCCTCAAATTTTGGCGGCTTTGTTTACAATTATTAAACAGTTAATGAGCTGCGAAGCACCAGGAGGCTGTTTATAACAATGACAACAGTTGATTGGCAAGTTTTCATGCTTGTAAACCTGTTTAATAAATGTAACCAAAGCCGTCATAGATTGAGGAAAGATGAACACGTTCGTAAGTACTTGCGTAACTGCTTCGTGAATCCGGGTCTTGGGTCCCAAATCTCCCCCCTCTCCCCCCATCGCCCACGCCAACCTCCAGACCAAACCAATCACCACAAACCACATGCCACACATCAAACACTGACCAATAGGGCGTGGAGAAATCCCAGCCCACCGAGCTAATGGCTGTTGAAGGACCGCATTGACTCTCCCTTAGCGACGCCATTATCGTACATCTACGGAAGCTCATCCTGGATGAGTTGAGCGCTTTCGTACACACACTCTCTCTCTCTCTATCTCTCTCTCTCTCTCTCTCTCTCTCTCTTTTTACTCTCTCATGTAAACTCGACAAAAGAGTGCACTGGTTTGAAGACATTGTCAACCTCTACAGCATCTGCGCGCCAATTTTTTAATTTTTTGCACCTCTCATTTGTACGTTAATTTCACTGTGATCATCTATATGGAAATTTCTTATGAGTACAATATCAACTACACACCAATTTCAGGGTTTGCAATATCCATCGAAGAGTCAATTAATGAGTTTGGCATATTTATTTCTGCCAATTTCTAACTGAAAAAAAGAAAAGAAAACAGGTCCAGCCAAAAGGGGACTGGACCTGGACTGGACACACACACACACACACACACCACACACACACACACACACACACACACACACACACACACACACACACACACACACACACAAAAAGAATTTTTTCAGTGTCAGAGTAGTTAATAAATGGAATGCACTAGGAAGTGATGTGGTGGAGGCTGACTCCATACACAGTTTCAAATGTAGGTATGATAGAGCCCAGTAGGCTCAGGAATCTGTACACCAGTTGATTGACAGTTGAGAGGCGGGACCAAAGAGCCAAAGCTCAACCCCCGCAAGCACAATTAGGTGAGTACACACACACACACACACACACACACACACACCACGATTCCAGACCAAATTTTGGAAAGCCAAATAAATCGTTTCAGCTGCGGCCACTATAGTCTCCTGGAGATGAAAACCTCTAGTGGCACACAGTCACTAATATATACCCTTGGTTATCAGCACCGTTTATAGCTAATACTGTAGTTTACTAATATCCATGGATACGAACACTGCTAGTGGCTGGTAGGTTACTATATCCTTGGATACGAACACTGCTAGTGGCTCGTAGGTTACTATATCCGTGGATACGAACACTGCTAGTGACTCGTAGGTTACTATATCCGTGGATACGAACACTGCTAGTGACTCGTAGGTTACTATATCCGTGGATACGAACACTGCTAGTGACTCGTAGGTTACTATATCCGTGGATACGAACACTGCTAGTGGCTGGTAGAATAACCAAACGAAAATGAGTCAAATATCAAATTGTAACTCAGAATAGGGGCATCACTCTGGCTATAGGATTCCCCAAGTTGTGTTTGAGGTCAGTAATCTTTGTGTGAAGATTCGTGCTGAACACACTTTTTTGCAACCCGTCCTCGACTCAAGTCCATTACATCCAGCGGTCAACCCCACAGACGCATTCATCAATTTTAACATGCTGTTCACTCAAAACGGGAATTTTCTCAAGTATAAATTTATATTATAATATATTAGCATATTGTGTATATATAGGCATAGGTTAGGTTAGGTTAGGTGTTTAGGTTCTGTTGGCGATTATTTGTATTTGTAGTACGTGGGTGAAGCATTTATAGCGTTGTGATTCGAACAAAATTCGTCAGTGAAGCACTTGTTCCGGATATGTTCGAATGTCAGCAGTTGTGAGTCGTGTGTAAACCGCTTTTCATTCATAAACAGGGGGTTTGGTGGGTGGATGGAATCACTTTTGGATCTTTGTTTGGAGGACGGGCTGCTTTTTTAACCCCAAGTTTCCATCATGTTGATTCGCTCAGGTTATGAGCACCTTTGAAGGCAACACTGTGAATATTCGGTATTGCGAGGCCCCCGCGAAGGCAACACTATGGACACAAAGTATTGCGAGGCCCATGCAAAGGCAACACAGTGGACATAAAATATTGCGAGGCCCCCGCGAAGGCAACACAGTGGACACAAAATATTGCGAGGCCCTCGTGAAGGCAACACTGTGGATAAAAAATATTGCGAGGCCCTCGTGAAGGCAACACAGTGGACACAAAGTATTGCGAGGCCCTCGTGAAGGCAACACAGTGGACACAAAGTATTGCGAGGCCCTCGTGAAGGCAACACAGCGGACACAAAATATTGCGAGGCCCTCGTGAAGGCAACACAGCGGACACAAAATATTGCGAGGCCCCCGTGAAGGCAACACTGTGCGCTCCCAATAAACCATTTTACAATCAAAATATATATTACAGCACAATGGTTATTAGAGTGGTAACTCCCCCTGGCTCTACCAGAGAGGAGGGATCAGCGTGGGAAGTGGCATGTGGATTAGGGTACGTACTGTGTGTGTCTCTGTATGATACATGTCGACTTATTATGTATCTTTTCATGACCAGTAAGATGCATGTTGACTACTGATAGGCATGTGTGTACATTTTAAAGCAAGAACGGGTTGCTTTGACTGTTCGCGTCATTTGTCTTGTATTACTGAACGATTAACAACAGTTATATTTTCAAATTTAAAACTGAATATACTAAGAATGGAAAAGCTGTTATCGGTAATGTAAAGTTGTTATCGAGACGGTAGCGAGGTTCTCGCCAGAACTGTGTAGTGAGTTTCCCGCCAGAACTGTGTAGTGAGGTTCTCGCCAGAACTGTGTAGCGAGGTTCCCGCCAGAACTGTGTAGAGAGGTTCCCGCCAGAACTGTGTAGTGAGGTTCCAGCCAGAACTGTGTAGCGAGGTTCCCGCCAGAACTGTGTAGTGAAGTTCCCGCCAGAACTGTGTAGTGAGGTTCCCGCCAGAACTGTGTAGCGAGGTTCCCGCCAGAACTGTGTACCGAGGTTCCCGCCAGAACTGTGTACCGAGGTTCCCGCCAGAACTATGTACCGAGGTTCCCGCCAGAACTATGTACCGAGGTTCCCGCCAGAACTGTGTACCGAGGTTCCCGCCAGAACTGTGTACCAAGGTTCCCGCCAGAACTGTGTACCAAGGTTCCCGCCAGAACTGTGTACCAAGGTTCCCGCCAGAACTGTGTACCGAGGTTCCCGCCAGAACTGTGTACCGAGGTTCCCGCCAGAACTGTGTACCGAGGTTCCCGCCAGAACTGTGTACCGAGGTTCCCGCCAGAACTGTGTACCGAGGTTCCCGCCAGAACTGTGTACCGAGGTTCCCGCCAGAACTGTGTACCGAGGTTCCCGCCAGAACTATGTACCGAGGTTCCCGCCAGAACTATGTACCGAGGTTCCCGCCAGAACTGTGTACCGAGGTTCCCGCCAGAACTATGTACCGAGGTTCCCGCCAGAACTATGTACCGAGGTTCCCGCCAGAACTATGTACCGAGGTTCCCGCCAGAACTATGTACCGAGGTTCCCGCCAGAACTGTGTACCGAGGTTCCCGCCAGAACTATGTACCGAGGTTCCCGCCAGAACTGTGTACCGAGGTTCCCGCCAGAACTGTGTACCAAGGTTCCCGCCAGAACTATGTACCGAGGTTCCCGCCAGAACTATGTACCGAGGTTCCCGCCAGAACTGTGTACCGAGGTTCCCGCCAGAACTATGTACCGAGGTTCCCGCCAGAACTATGTACCGAGGTTCCCGCCAGAACTGTGTACCGAGGTTCCCGCCAGAACTGTGTACCGAGGTTCCCGCCAGAACTATGTACCGAGGTTCCCGCCAGAACTATGTACCGAGGTTCCCGCCAGAACTATGTACCGAGGTTCCCGCCAGAACTATGTACCGAGGTTCCCGCCAGAACTGTGTACCGAGGTTCCCGCCAGAACAATGTACCGAGGTTCCCGCCAGAACTATGTACCGAGGTTCCGCCAGAACTATGTACCGAGGTTCCCGCCAGAACTGTGTACCGAGGTTCCCGCCAGAACTATGTACCGAGGTTCCCGCCAGAACTATGTACCGAGGTTCCCGCCAGAACTATGTACCGAGGTTCCCGCCAGAACTGTGTACCGAGGGCCGTACATAAAACAAAACAAAATGAAATCGTTGGTGAACGTGGGAAGGATTCATGGCAGATTTGCGTGCGGGAAGCGAGTCTGAGAGCCCTCTGGCTGCTAATGGAATTTCAGCACATTAAAGGCCCAAGCTAACGGGACAACTTCGGCGTTCGGGCAGATTAGTCGCTTGTGGGAAAGAAGCTGGGAAACCATGTTCTAATTCTGGTCCGAGGTCGTAAAAAAAATTACAAAAAGCCACAACGGGGCTTATACTACAAAGGGCTTCCGCCCAATAGTGCAACTGTAATATCTATGCAGACTGCATCTTAGTCTTCCATTACGAAAGGCAATTCCATCCTCTAATGTTGATGTACGTACCTCGCATAACTTAAGGCTTACATCTGATTGTCAAGTTGGCTTCTGTTTACATCTTGCCGCCAATAATGGAGGAACTTAAGCCGTCCGACATTTTTCACCGAGGTACTTAGATTGTTTAAGTTGGCGCGAGAGTTGAAGCGTGCTGACGGAACACGAGCAAGTCTGAAGATTAACGAGAAGGTACAACCCAACACAGTCACCAAGCCTGCGTCTCACACCCAACATTCCCACCAAGACTAACACCTTCTTCTTGGAGAGGGAAGATGTCCCTGGTGTTGTTAATGGGGGAGGGAAGACGTTCCTGGTGTTGTTAATGGGGGAAGACGTCCCTGTGTTGTTAATGGGGGAGGGAAGACGTCCCTGGTGTTGTTAATGGGGGAGGGAAGACGTCCCTGGTGTTGTTAATGGGGGAAGACGTCCCTGGTGTTGTTAATGGGGGAGGGAAGACGTTCCTGGTGTTGTTAATGGGGGAGGGAAGACGTTCCTGGTGTTGTTAATGGGGGAAGACGTTCCTGGTGTTGTTAATGGGGGAGGGAAGACGTCCCTGGTGTTGTTAATGGGGGAAGACGTCCCTGGTGTTATTAATGGGGGAGGGAAGACGCCCCTGGTGTTGTTAATGGGGAGGGAAGACGTTCCTGGTGTTGTTAATGGGGGAGGGAAGACGTCCCTGGTGTTGTTAATGGGGAAGACGTCCCTGGTGTTGTTAATGGGGGAGGGAAGACGTCCCTGGTGTTGTTAATGGGGGAAGACGTCCCTGGTGTTGTTAATGGGGGAGGGAAGACGTCCCTGGTGTTGTTAATGGGGGAGGGAAGACGCCCCTGGTGTTGTTAATGGGGGAAGACGTCCATGGTGTTGTTAATGGGGGAGGGAAGACGCCCCTGGTGTTGTTAATGGGGGAGGGAAGACGTCCCTGGTGTTGTTAATGGGGGAAGACGTCCCTGGTGTTGTTAATGGGGGAGGGAAGACGCCCCTGGTGTTGTTAATGGGGAGGGAAGGGAAGACGCAGTAGGTGTTGTTAATGGAGGAGGGAAGACACAGCTAGAGTTAATGAAGAACGAGGATACTGTACTGTCAGTTACCAAATGTGCACAACAAAATAGCAACATACTGTAGCCAAAGATATGGTAGGAAGTGCAGAACAGTTCCAGTGACGAGAAGAGGTAGGGTAGGAAGTGCAGAACAAACCTAGTGACGAGAAGAGGTAGGGTAGGAAGTGCAGAACAGGTCCAGTGACGAGAAGAGGTAGGGTAGGAAGTGCAGAACAGGTCCAGTGACGAGAAGAGGTAGGGTAGGAAGTGCAGAACAGTTCCAGTGACGAGAAGAGGTAGGGTAGGAAGTGCAGAACAGTTCCAGTGACGAGAAGAGGTAGAGTAGGAAGTGCAGAACAGTTCCAGTGACGAGAAGAGGTAGGGTAGGAAGTGCAGAACAGTTCCAGTGACGAGAAGAGGTAGGGTAGGAAGTGCAGAACAGGTCCAGTGACGAGAAGAGGTAGGGTAGGAAGTGCAGAACAGTTCCAGTGACGAGAAGAGGTAGGGTAGGAAGTGCAGAACAGGTCCAGTGACGAGAAGAGGTAGGGTAGGAAGTGCAGAACAGGTCCAGTGACGAGAAGAGGTAGGGTAGGAAGTGCAGAACAGGTCCAGTGACGAGAAGAGGTAGGGTAGGAAGTGCAGAACAGTTCCAGTGACGAGAAGAGGTAGGGTAGGAAGTGCAGAACAGTTCCAGTGACGAGAAGAGGTAGGGTAGGAAGTGCAGAACAGGTCCAGTGACGAGAAGAGGTAGGGTAGGAAGTGCAGAACAGGTCCAGTGACGAGAAGAGGTAGGGTAGGAAGTGCAGAACAGGTCCAGTGACGAGAAGAGGTAGGGTAGGAAGTGCAGAACAGGTCCAGTGACGAGAAGAGGTAGGGTAGGAAGTGCAGAACAGGTCCAGTGACGAGAAGAGGTAGGGTAGGAAGTGCAGAACAGGTCCAGTGACGAGAAGAGGTAGGGTAGGAAGTGCAGAACAGGTCCAGTGACGAGAAGAGGTAGGGTAGGAAGTGCAGAACAGGTCCAGTGACGAGGAGAGGTAGGGTAGGAAGTGCAGAACAGGTCCAGTGACGAGGAGAGGTAGGGTAGGAAGTGCAGAACAGGTCCAGTGACGAGAAGAGGTAGGGTAGGAAGTGCAGAACAGGTCCAGTGACGAGAAGAGGTAGGGTAGGAAGTGCAGAACAGGTCCAGTGACGAGAAGAGGTAGGGTAGGAAGTGCAGAACAGGTCCAGTGACGAGAAGAGGTAGGGTAGGAAGTGCAGAACAGGTCCAGTGACGAGAAGAGGTAGGGTAGGAAGTGCAGAACAGGTCCAGTGACGAGAAGAGGTAGGGTAGGAAGTGCAGAACAGGTCCAGTGACGAGAAGAGGTAGGGTAGGAAGTGCAGAACAGGTCCAGTGACGAGAAGAGGTAGGGTAGGAAGTGCAGAACAGGTCCAGTGACGAGGAGAGGTAGGGTAGGAAGTGCAGAACAGGTCCAGTGACGAGAAGAGGTAGGGTAGGAAGTGCAGAACAGGTCCAGTGACGAGAAGAGGTAGGGTAGGAAGTGCAGAACAGTTCCAGTGACGAGAAGAGGTAGGGTAGGAAGTGCAGAACAGGTCCAGTGACGAGAAGAGGTAGGGTAGGAAGTGCAGAACAGTTCCAGTGACGAGAAGAGGTAGGGTAGGAAGTGCAGAACAGGTCCAGTGACGAGAAGAGGTAGGGTAGGAAGTGCAGAACAGTTCCAGTGACGAGAAGAGGTAGGGTAGGAAGTGCAGAACAGGTTCAGTGACGAGAAGAGGTAGGGTAGGAAGTGCAGAACAGTTCCAGTGACGAGAAGAGGTAGGGTAGGAAGTGCAGAACAGGTCCAGTGACGAGAAGAGGTAGGGTAGGAAGTGCAGAACAGGTCCAGTGACGAGAAGAGGTAGGGTAGGAAGTGCAGAACAGGTCCAGTGACGAGAAGAGGTAGGGTAGGAAGTGCAGAACAGGTCCAGTGACGAGAAGAGGTAGGGTAGGAAGTGCAGAACAGGTCCAGTGACGAGAAGAGGTAGGGTAGGAAGTGCAGAACAGGTCCAGTGACGAGAAGAGGTAGGGTAGGAAGTGCAGAACAGGTCCAGTGACGAGAAGAGGTAGGGTAGGAAGTGCAGAACAGGTCCAGTGACGAGAAGAGGTAGGGTAGGAAGTGCAGAACAGTTCCAGTGACGAGAAGAGGTAGGGTAGGAAGTGCAGAACAGGTCCAGTGACGAGAAGAGGTAGGGTAGGAAGTGCAGAACAGTTCCAGTGACGAGAAGAGGTAGGGTAGGAAGTGCAGAACAGGTCCAGTGACGAGAAGAGGTAGGGTAGGAAGTGCAGAACAGGTCCAGTGACGAGAAGAGGTAGGGTAGGAAGTGCAGAACAGGTCCAGTGACGAGAAGAGGTAGGGTAGGAAGTGCAGAACAGGTCCAGTGACGAGAAGAGGTAGGGTAGGAAGTGCAGAACAGGTCCAGTGACGAGAAGAGGTAGGGTAGGAAGTGCAGAACAGTTCCAGTGACGAGAAGAGGTAGGGTAGGAAGTGCAGAACAGGTCCAGTGACGAGAAGAGGTAGGGTAGGAAGTGCAGAACAGTTCCAGTGACGAGAAGAGGTAGGGTAGGAAGTGCAGAACAGTTCCAGTGACGAGAAGAGGTAGGGTAGGAAGTGCAGAACAGGTCCAGTGACGAGAAGAGGTAGGGTAGGAAGTGCAGAACAGGTCCAGTGACGAGAAGAGGTAGGGTAGGAAGTGCAGAACAGGTCCAGTGACGAGAAGAGGTAGGGTAGGAAGTGCAGAACAGTTCCAGTGACGAGAAGAGGTAGGGTAGGAAGTGCAGAACAGGTCCAGTGACGAGAAGAGGTAGGGTAGGAAGTGCAGAACAGTTCCAGTGACGAGAAGAGGTAGGGTAGGAAGTGCAGAACAGGTCCAGTGACGAGAAGAGGTAGGGTAGGAAGTGCAGAACAGGTCCAGTGACGAGAAGAGGTGGGGTAGGAAGTGCAGAACAGGTCCAGTGACGAGAAGAGGTGGGGTAGGAAGTGCAGAACAGGTCCAGTGACGAGGAGAGGTAGGGTAGGAAGTGCAGAACAGGTCCAGTGACGAGAAGAGGTGGGGTAGGAAGTGCAGAACAGGTCCAGTGACGAGAAGAGGTGGGGTAGGAAGTGCAGAACAGGTCCAGTGACGAGAAGAGGTGGGGTAGGAAGTGCAGAACAGGTCCAGTGACGAGGAGAGGTAGGGTAGGAAGTGCAGAACAGGTCCAGTGACGAGAAGAGGTAGGGTAGGAAGTGCAGAACAGGTCCAGTGACGAGAAGAGGTAGGGTAGGAAGTGCAGAACAGGTCCAGTGACGAGAAGAGGTAGGGTAGGAAGTGCAGAACAGGTCCAGTGACGAGAAGAGGTAGGGTAGGAAGTGCAGAACAGGTCCAGTGACGAGAAGAGGTAGGGTAGGAAGTGCAGAACAGGTCCAGTGACGAGGAGAGGTAGGGTAGGAAGTGCAGAACAGGTCCAGTGACGAGAAGAGGTAGGGTAGGAAGTGCAGAACAGGTCCAGTGACGAGAAGAGGTAGGGTAGGAAGTGCAGAACAGGTCCAGTGACGAGAAGAGGTAGGGTAGGAAGTGCAGAACAGGTCCAGTGACGAGAAGAGGTAGGGTAGGAAGTGCAGAACAGGTCCAGTGACGAGGAGAGGTAGGGTAGGAAGTGCAGAACAGGTCCAGTGACGAGAAGAGGTAGGGTAGGAAGTGCAGAACAGGTCCAGTGACGAGGAGAGGTAGGGTAGGAAGTGCAGAACAGGTCCAGTGACGAGAAGAGGTAGGGTAGGAAGTGCAGAACAGGTCCAGTGACGAGAAGAGGTAGGGTAGGAAGTGCAGAACAGGTCCAGTGACGAGAAGAGGTAGGGTAGGAAGTGCAGAACAGGTCCAGTGACGAGAAGAGGTAGGGTAGGAAATGCAGAACAGGTCCAGTGACGAGGAGAGGTAGGGTAGGAAGTGCAGAACAGGTCCAGTGACGAGGAGAGGTAGGGTAGGAAGTGCAGAACAGTTCCAGTGACGAGGAGAGGTAGGGTAGGAAGTGCAGAACAGGTCCAGTGACGAGGGGAGGTAGGGTAGGAAGTGCAGAACAGTTCCAGTGACGAGGAGAGGTAGGGTAGGAAGTGCAGAACAGTTCCAGTGACGAGGAGAGGTAGGGTAGGAAGTGCAGAACAGGTCCAGTGACGAGGAGAGGTAGGGTAGGAAGTGCAGAACAGGTCCAGTGACGAGGAGAGGTAGGGTAGGAAGTGCAGAACAGTTCCAGTGACGAGGAGAGGTAGGGTAGGAAGTGCAGAACAGTTCCAGTGACGAGGAGAGGTAGGGTAGGAAGTGCAGAACAGTTCCAGTGACGAGGAGAGGTAGGGTAGGAAGTGCAGAACAGTTCCAGTGACGAGGAGAGGTAGGGTAGGAAGTGCAGAACAGTTCCAGTGACGAGGAGAGGTAGGGTAGGAAGTGCAGAACAGGTCCAGTGACGAGGAGAGGTAGGGTAGGAAGTGCAGAACAGGTCCAGTGACGAGAAGAGGTAGGGTAGGAAGTGCAGAACAGTTCCAGTGACGAGGAGAGGTAGGGTAGGAAGTGCAGAACAGGTCCAGTGACGAGGAGAGGTAGGGTAGGAAGTGCAGAACAGGTCCAGTGACGAGGAGAGGTAGGGTAGGAAGTGCAGAACAGTTCCAGTGACGAGGAGAGGTAGGGTAGGAAGTGCAGAACAGGTCCAGTGACGAGGAGAGGTAGGGTAGGAAGTGCAGAACAGTTCCAGTGACGAGAAGAGGTAGGGTAGGAAGTGCAGAACAGGTCCAGTGACGAGAAGAGGTAGGGTAGGAAGTGCAGAACAGGTCCAGTGACGAGAAGAGGTAGGGTAGGAAGTGCAGAACAGGTCCAGTGACGAGGAGAGGTAGGGTAGGATTCAAATATAAACCAAACCCAGACCAGACTATGAAGCACTGTCTCTGTCAGAAGGTATTCAAAAGGCGCTAAAGATCACTCAACATGCCAATACGAGAACAGAAAGATATAAGGCGAACGATATCAAAGTTATCGGATTCACCAAGCTCTCCAACAAGAGACAAACGACCCCTAGGGGGCATTAAGGAAGCAAGACACTCGAACAATCAACAATGAGGTGCACGACTGAAGGTTATCTTGAGATGATTTCGGGGCTTTTAGTGTCCCCGCGGCCCGGTCCTCGACCAGGCCTCCACCCCCAGGAAGCAGCCCATGACAGCTGACTAACACCCAGGTACCTATTTTACTGCTAGGTAACAGGGGCATAGGGCGAAAGAAACTCTGCCCAATGTTTCTCGCCGGCGCTTGGGATTGAACCCAGGACCACAAGATCACGAGTCCAGCGTGCTGTCCGCTCGGCCGACCAGCTCCCTCATGATCAACTCAAAGAAATTAAAAACTGTACAAGATTTGGAAAAAGAGAGTAGAAGAATATCTCTTGTGAGTCAAAGCCACCAAGCAGAGAATCAAGTGACAATAGTTATTCAGGAATGCTAATGAATAACCTTGAAAACTAGCCATTCAGCTACGTAATTATCAAGACACCTTAGCCTGCAAGACTATTGAGCACCGACAGTGTCACAGACCTTTAAGAAGTGTGTATATGTATATATATATATATATATATATATATATATATATATATATATATATATATATATATATATATATATATATATATATATATATATATATATATGTCGTACCTAGTAGCCAGAATGCAATTCTCAGCCTACTATGCAAGGCCGATTTGCCTAATAAGCCAAGATTCCCCCCCCCCCCTTGAGCGGCATTGAATACTTGAAGAGTCGCCAGCGCGGATTTAACCATTAAATATAGTTGACTGCATTGGTGAGACCACTTATGGGCAGAGGTGGGCGGCCCAGCCTATATACGCCCGCCCGCAAATGGCGCCCCTATGGCGGGTGGGCGTGAGGGTGGAACCGACAACTTAGAACAGGGGGTTTCAGACGCCGTTTCTGGCCTCCATACCTTGGAAAAATAACTTCCCCCGTTGTATCAACCTTTTCGGATTGTGAACTTCGCTATAATATGAACCTCGAGTGGTTTGGGACCACTTTCGGACAGGTGAGGAGGTGGACCAAAGGGCCAGAGCTCAACTAGGTGAATATAAGCAGGGGAATGTATATTGTAAATCCATCCCCTTCCCCCCCCCCCTGCTATATAGCCTCCGCATACCCAGATTGTAATCCTCCCCGCATTACAAACTCTCACGCAATCCCCCAAATCCCCACCACACACTGTACTCCCCCCACAGTACCAGCACGCTACAGCCACTGCCCAATAATACAAAACTATATCTTACTAGAGTTGGCATTTTACGACATCCAGAGCCGCGAGGGGTGTACACACCGCTCCAGAGAACTGGCCAATCACCAGTGAGTACCAGGAGGGGGTGGCGCCGCGCACGGATTGGTGAGAATTTGGCAATCTACGGCATGAAGGATTGCGCGCTTGGATTGTTAAAAACCTGACCAATCATCCCCCAGGCGTGCATGGGATGGATACAGCACCCGGGGATTGGTCTTGGGAACCGACAATGTGTTCCTAATCCGTCCTCGAGAATTCACAGTATTTTCAGACACATTTAGCTGCCTTTTCCGGCCACGACCTCCTAGTTCTGGCGGGTTCTCGACGCTTCGACAGACGTTTCATACGTCTGACACTTCCAGGAAGTTAATGTCAAATTGGCAAGTTGGTCCAATATTCCTTTTTTTTTAACACCTTGTGGAATTAAGTAGAATGTTTTTCACTACGAATGTTAAATTTTTGTTAATCTTTAAAGCTATTAATTCTTTATTAAAGCTTTAATTCATTTTATTCTATTTTGTTTAACAGTTTCTGAGCACAAGAAAACGTTATTATAGGGTTTCTTAGCCCTTCTCCTCCTTCACTTCCCCCACTCTTCCCACTCCGCCCTCACTCTTCCCCTACACCCTCACTCTTCCTCTCCACCCTCACTCTTCCTCTCCACCCTCACTCTTCCCCTACACCCTCACTCTTCCTCTCCACCCTCACTCTTCCTCTCCACCCTCACTCTTCCTCTCCACCCTCACTCTTCCTCTCCACCCTCACTCTTCCCCTCCACCCTCACTCTTCCCCCTCCACCTCACTCTTCCCCCTCCACTCCTCCTTCACTTCCCCCACTCTTCCCCCTCCGCCCTCACTCTTCCCCTACACCCTCACTCTTCCTCTCCACCCTCACTCTTCCTCTCCACCCTCTCCACCCTCACTCTTCCACCCTCTCTTCCCACTACACCCTCACTCTTCCTCCCACCCTCTCCACCCTCACTCTTCCCACCCTCCACCCTCACTCTTCCCACACTCCCCTACACCCTCACTCTTCCTCTCCACCCTCACTCTTCCCACTCCACCCTCACTCTTCCCACTCCACCCTCACTCTTCCCCCTCCACCCTCACTCTTCCCCCTCCACCCTCACTCTCCCCACTCCACCCTCACTCTTCCCACTCCACCCTCACTCTTCCCCCTCCACCCTCACTCTTCCCACTCCACCCTCACTCTTCCCCCTCCACCCTCACTCTCCCCCCTCCACCCTCACTCTTCCCCCTCCACCCTCACTCTTCCCCCCTCCACTCCACCTTCCCACTCACTCTCTCCCCCTCCACCCTCACTCTTCCCACTCCACCCCTCACTCTTCCCCCTCCCACCCTCACTCTTCCCACTCCACCCTCACTCTTCCCCCTCCACCCTCACTCCCCCACTCCCCTCACTCTTCCCCCTCCACCCTCACTCTCCCCACTCTCCCCTCCCCCCTCACTCTTCCCCCTCCACCCTCACTCTCCCCACTCCACCCTCACTCTACCCTACCAACCAGCGCCCCCAACTTCCCTCCCACCACCACCACCTCACTCTTTCACCGCTCCGCCTCCACCCACTCCCGCCCACACGATGATCGACCCTCACAGCACTGCAGTACACAGCGTGCTTTCCCCTCCGGCTGGTGCAGTGTTGGGGTGTGGTGGTGGAGAGGTGGTGGTGGTGCAGAGGGGGTGGTGGAGGGGGGGGTGATGGAGGGGGGGATGGTGTGCAGGGGTGGTGGTGGGGAGGTGATTGTGGTGGTCATGATAAGGGTGGTGGTGGTAGAACCAGAGATGTGTTCACTATGTACACATCTCTGGTGCCTCTCTGTACTTGTAGTGAGAAGGGCAGATCTTTCAACCCAATCCTTATAGCTCGGGTGTCAGTCTTGTTAAGTTATACTGAGGCACTTCTATTACTTGCCGCTATGTCAACACAGCGACGAGGCTGTTGAGTCATTTTGGCGCTCATTGGTATGCCTACAACTGTTGTTTCTTGTTGTTGTTGGGTTGATGCTGTTGTGATGATGCTTTACCTTGCTTGCGGGGCGGTCTTTGATGGTGTGGCTGTTTGGGGCGGTCTTTGATGGTGTGGCTGTTTGGGGCGGTCTTTGATGCTGTCGCTGTTTGGGGCGGCCTTTGATGGTGTCGCTGTTTGGGGCGGTCTTTGATGGTGTGGCTGTTTGGGGCGGTCTTTGATGGTGTGGCTGTTTGGGGCGGTCTTTGATGGTGTGGCTGTTTGGGGCGGTCTTTGATGCTGTGGCTGTTTGGGGCGGTCTTTGATGGTGTGGCTGTTTGGGGCGGTCTTTGATGCTGTGGCTGTTTGGGGCGGTCTATGATGCTGTCGCTGTTTGGGGCGGTCTTTGATGGTGTGGCTGTTTGGGGCGGTCTTTGATGGTGTGGCTGTTTGGGGCGGTCTTTGATGGTGTCGCTGTTTGGGGCGGTCTTTGATGCTGTGGCTGTTTGGGCGGTCTTTGATGCTGTGGCTGTTTGGGGCGGTCTTTGATGGTGTGGCTGTTTGGGGCGGTCTTTGATGGTGTGGCTGTTTGGGGCGGTCTTTGATGGTGTGGCTGTTTGGGGCGGTCTTTGATGGTGTGGCTGTTTGGGGCGGTCTTTGATGCTGTGGCTGTTTGGGGCGGTCTTTGATGATGTGGCTGTTTGGGGCGGTCTTTGATGGTGTGGCTGTTTGGGGCGGTCTATGATGCTGTCGCTGTTTGGGGCGGTCTTTGATGCTGTCGCTGTTTGGGGCGGTCTTTGATGGTGTGGCTGTTTGGGGCGGTCTATGATGCTGTCGCTGTTTGGGGCGGTCTATGATGCTGTCGCTGTTTGGGGCGGTCTTTGATGGTGTGGCTGTTTGGGGCGGTCTTTGATGCTGTCGTTGTTTGGGGCGGTCTTTGATGCTGTCGCTGTTTGGGGCGGTCTTTGATGCTGTGGTTGTTAGCGGCGGTCTTTGGCGGTTAGGTTGTTACACTGATTCTTATGTTGGTGTTCTTCTCCCCCCCCCCCGAGCCGCTGCAGTTCACTCTTTCCTCTGATCATGATCCGTGATCCTACAGCTGCTGTCTGCGTTGTATCTGCCGCAGCTTTTGTAGCTTAAGCTGTTTTAGTCGCTACTGAAACCGCTGCCTTTTTTTTTTCCCTGATGTCATTAATGCTTCTAAGTTGTGTTTGCTGTAGTTGTAATTGTAACTACAACTACCAGTATCTACTACTGCGCCTTGTGAGGCTACCACCACTACCTCCCCAACAATCACCTTATCTCCCCAACAATCACCTTATCTACTACAATCAAGTATAGCTGGCCACGACAAGGCGTCTCTGTAGAGCGGTGCATCATATGTAACATGTAGCCGTGTAGAGCACCGCCCTGGTGCTCTACACCGTGTAGAGCACCGCCCTGATGCTCTACAACGTGTAGAGCACCGCCCTGGTGCTCTACAACGTGTAGAGCACCGTGTAGAGCACCGCCCTGGTGCTCTACACCGTGTAGAGCACCGCCCTGGTGCTCTACAACGTGTAGAGCACCGTGTAGAGCACCGCCCTGGTGCTCTACACCGTGTAGAGCACCGTGTAGAGCACCGCCCTGGTGCTCTACAACGTGTAGAGCACCGTGTAGAGCACCGCCCTGGGATGTGATAGTACGGGCCTCTCTCCCCCCTTCCTTCATGTTTGGTAACTTGTTTTACGCTGTGTTTACAGCGTTGTGTGTGTGTGTGTGTGTGTGTGTGTGTGTGTGTGTGTGTGTGTGTGTGTGTGTGTGTGTGTGTGTGTGTGTGTGTGTGTGTGTGTGTGTGTGCTCATCTTGTTGCGCTTGCGGAGGATTGAGCTTTGGCGCTTTGGTCCCGCCTCGTGTGTGTGTGTGTGTGCGTGGGGGGGGTAAGGTTGAGCTTTAGCTTCTGTGGCCCGTCTGTCTCCACCGCTTCACTTTACAGTTCACATGTGAAGTGGTGGACAAACACACACACACAAACAGAGGCGTGACCAAAGAGCCAGAGCTCAACCCTCCGCAAGCACGACTAGGTGAGTACACACACTATAATACAGATCCAGCATGGGTTCAGAGACGAGTTCTACGACTTGGGTTATCTTGAGGTTATCTTGAGATGATTTCGGGGCTTTTTAGTGTCCCCGCGGCCCGGTCCTCGACCAGGCCTCCACACCCCCCAGGAAGCAGCACGTGACAGCTGACTAACACCCAGGTACCTATTTTACTGCTAGGTAACAGGGGCATAGGGTGAAAGAAACTCTGCCCATTGTTTCTCGCCGGCGCCTGGGATCGACCCCAGGACCACAGGATTACAAGTCCAGCGTGCTGTCCCGCTCGACCTACCTACGTGACTGACTCGCCAGACAGGACTCTTTTTTTTTTTTTTTTTTTTTTTTTTTTTTGACTCTTTCTCACAATGTTTACCGATGGTGACCAAAACTGTAAATGTAAATGTTTACAGTTTTGTATATGGTGACCATTTTGTAAAAAATTTGTTTATTTATAAAAATTTATAAAAAAATTTAGAAAAATTTATGAAATGTAAAAACGGTGTAAATACAATACAAAACTACAAATGATGACCTGGACAACGTGAAAGAATTATCCAGCAAGTGACTACTAGAGTTTAACCCAAGCAAGTGCAAAGTGACGGGAAACAAGGTAATATACTCACCCCACCCACCAGATATGATAGTACCTATAGCTACTATGGATGGAATGTTCAAGATATGAACTGTTGCAACTAAAAAGATTCAACGTTTTCTATAAATGTTACAGTAAGAGGCCATAATAAAACCACTTGTCCTCTTAAAAATAACGTCGCTTTTGGACGTTTACAAGTATGGCCGAAAGTGGACGTAATTTAAAAATTAAAAAAAAATTAAAATAAATTTGGGATTTTTTTTGTCAACAACAGTAAGTTAAGGGTCCTTTGATAGGTTAGGTGGGCAGGAAATTCTCATAAAGTTTCAAAACGTTATGAAAAACGTTAATTGAAAGTTTCCTCTCCTAACCTTTTCGAGTAAGCCGGACGACTCATACAGAAAACGGAACAGTACGTCACTTTTGTGAGCCGATTTCATTTCAAATTATGTCCAAATTTGGCCATAGTGCGCATACGAGCCAAAAGTGACATTATTTTTAAGAGGACGGGTTGAATAAAAAATACAACCACCTAACCATCAACCTAACCTAGGTCTAAATTAACAACCCCTAGAACTAACCCATGCAGTCTGAGGCCTATTTTAGTGAAGATATGTACTACCCTAGGCCTAATAAAGGTTAGGCCTCGCCGCTGCCATCATTTCCGGGACCTCTAGAAAGCCAGTAGCACACAACTTTAGGTTTATGAGTTCAACAATCAGCATTTACAAGCTTGGTGAACATATGAATGCCCTTGAAAAACCTGAATAGGACATTTACGACTTTGTATTCCACACACATATACGTCAGACCCACTCTGGAATATGCGGCAACTGCCTCCGTACCTCGTTAAAAAAATATAACGAAGCTGTAGGCAGTTCAGAGGTATGCCGCCGGAAGCATATTGCAGTATAACAGTGCGATTTATGGTAAAGCATCAACCATTTTTAATAACATATCGTACTGTACAGTAATGCTAATATATCGCATTGTGTTGTATGATAATTAAATGAAATATGCTGGGAACATACTGTAATGTGTATTAGGGTATGTGAACGTATAATGTAAAGTGGAGGTGCTCTTAGTGAAGGGACTCGCCGCAAAGGCTGGTAGTTAGTCATTCCGGCAGTTAATGGCTTGCCACCACTCCTGTCATTCCTGTGTTAAGGCCACCTCATGGTTAATTGGTTTAATGTAAATTATTCTGCTCTCGTGTGTGTGTGTGTGTGTGTGTGTGTGTGTGTGTGTGTGTGTGTGTGTGTGTGTGTGTGTGTGTGTGTGTGTGTGTGTAATTATCTAAGTGTAGTTACAGGATAAGAGCTATGCTCGTGGTGTCTCGTGTTCCCAATACTCTTTGTCAAATAACGTTTTGAAACTACTGACTGTTTTGGCCTCCACCACCTTGTCATTGAACTTATTTCAACTGTGTGTGTGTGTGTGTGTGTGTGTGTGTGTGTGTGTGGTGTGTGTGTGTGTGTGTGTGTGTGTGTGTGTGTGTGTGTCTGTGTTTGTACTCACCTAGTTGAGTTGCAGGGTCGAGCATCTACTCTTAAGCCCCGCCTTTCGACCCCTATTAGTTCAATGCAGTGACTGTTTTCAGTTCTCGTTTTTCTTATCATATTTTCATTTACAGTTGTGTATCGAATTGGCTTCGATTTGCTAACTACTCTGACACTGAAAAAGTTCTTTCTAACGTCTCTGTGGCTCATTGGGTACTCAGCTTCCACCTGTGTCCCCTGTTCGCGTTCCACCAGTGTTGAAAAGTTCATCCTTGTTTACCGGTCGATTCCCTGAGGATTTTGTAGGTTGTGATCATGTCCCCCCTTACTTTCTGTTCTTCCCAGTGTCGTGAGGTGCATTATCCCGCAGCCTTTCCTCATAACTCATGCCTCTAGTTGGGGGACTAGTCTAGTAGCATACCTTTGGACTTTTTTCAGCTTCGTCTGTGCTGGCTTGACAAGGTACGGGCTCCATGTGGGGCAGCATACTCCAGGATTGGTCTTACATATGTGGTGTACAAGATTCTGAATGATTCCTTACACAGGTTCCTGAACGCCGTTCTGATGTTAGCACAGTCGCTTCCTTATTATGGTCTCAATCCTTCTTTCTAATCTTCCTTAATTAGAACATTGTTTTTATATCTACTTTGTTAACCACCCTTAGTATCTTGTTCGTCGTTATCATGTCTGCCCTGTTTCTTCTTTCCTACAGTGTGGTGAGGTTCAGAGAGAGAGAGAGAGAGAGAGAGAGAGAGAGAGAGAGAGAGAGAGAGAGAGAGAGAGAGAGAGACCACCAGCGTCCCAGCACAGCCCACCACTCAGTAACACACACACTGTGGTGATAGTAGTAGTGTGGTAGTGGTAGTACCTACTACCACTGTGGTAGTAGACCATCACAGCATCCAGCATCCCCCTCAGAGGAAGGGCCTGCCAGATAACACAATAGGATGCCCTCCCCCCCACTCCAAAGAGACGGAAATTACGATTCACCGTTTCACAAAGTTGTCTGTTTAAAACTTTGAGTAATAATGTGGACGTCTCGCATGTGAGATGTTGTTGCTCTTGTTAGGTGTAGTTGTGAGTACTTGTTAGGTTGTTAGTGGTGGTGATGGTTGTTAGTGAAGTTGTTTTACTCACCTACATGTGCTTACATGGTCTAGCGTCAGCTCCTAAGCTCCCCCTTCTAGATTTTGTGCAGCTTTCACATAATATTTACACTTAAAAACTTTACATCGAGTTAGCCTCAGCCACGTCTTTATCTAGCCCGAGTATCCTTAGGAATCTTACATGTCGTTATCATGTCCTACCCCAGCCTTTCATCCTAACTCAGTAATGAATGATAGAGATATCAAGGTATCAAGCTGCTGTTTGCTTGAGAATGCAGAATATCATAATAATGTCCTTAATTTGTTTAAGGGTAGGTTATCTTCTTGAAGTTATCTTGAGATGATTTCGGGGCTTTTAGTGTCCCCCGCGGTCCGGTCCTCGACCAGGCCTCCACCCCC